TAAGTTGAAGGAGTAAATACAATAATTTTACAAGTTTATTTATTTCAGTTAAAAAATATTTTAAAACTTTTAATTAAATTAAACTAAAAGTCTACCTGGTGTGAAGGTGTTTGCAGATGATAGTGGTAAGAATCGTCAGAAAAGACGTTCTCGGCGGTCAATATATATACCCTGGAATCCCAAGCTAAAAAAAATAATTAGTGATAAAAACTGGCCATTACAAGCTCACAGCTGCTCCTAACACTCATCCAGGTAGGCAATAATTTATACATAATATTGGAGATCAAGAATTAATTTCGTTAAATAATTACTAAATTTGGATACTAAGTACTAAATATGGATTTTCGAAAAATTCACAAATGGTTTTATAGGAATTATAAATTACCACTTACAATATTTAGTTTGTTATTATTATTAACATTATTTATAGGAGATCTGGATTTCGCCTGCTCAAGCAACGCCAATAACTCAATTAATACCATTTAGGCTTTGATTCGGCCAATTAGGCAACGTGTTTATTTAATTCTTTGTTGTCGAATATGATAGATACATTTTCACGTGCATAAGAAATATCCATCAAAACAATCGGTAAAAATCTATATTGGATTCGATCGAAATTTCATTAACAATATTGAGTTTTGGAATAGAATTCAACGAAAAATTATAAAATTGTTAAGTTTTGGAATGAGTATTAGCGTTGAACTTTAGAAGGCTACCTAATATTAGGTAGTTTATAAACGCAGTCGATTACCAGAGGTGTAATTACGAGGGGGGATTTGGGGTATAGATCATTCTCCGTGAGCTGTATTTATATAGTATACTGTTATTTTATACAAATTGGAAGTTCAAATGTAAACTTTCAAAATTATTACGAAACTAAAAGTTTTAAATGTTTAAGTTTAATTGTATAAGTAGGTACCAAAATATTCGTAGTTTATTAGTGTACTAGATAAACAATGTGTTTAATAGTTGATGTCAAAATAAATGGTAAATTTCATTAATCTGGTGAATAACTAAGTGGTCTAACCAGTGATTTAAAAAACGCGGACGCTCTATTTAATAGGAAATATCAGTAATTATAGTTAATTAGTTTTATTTTATTTTACAAATGGGGCAAGTCCAAAAAGGAAAGAAAACATTAATATACAAATAAGAATAGATTAATATATTACGAAGAAAATTAGAAGGTAAAAAGGGGTAAAAAATCTTGTCTTTTTATTAAGAGACAAGGAAATCCTGGTACTAATTTAAGTGTTGAAGTTCACTATAAAGTATTATTATTTATACCTTACCTAGATTTTTAGGTTCTGAGTGGAGCAAGGAATATATTGATGTTACAATAATGTTTATTTATTTTTTTTTTGCAAACAGCTTTTCTACCAAAAATTTTGCTCAGATTTACAATGATAGCACTTTTACTGAAAAAAAATCTGATTGGGTGATTTTAAATAAATGGGAAAAATCAGGAAAAATTATGGGAAAAGCGTCGGAAAAACAAAAAAATAGGTACAATATTAAACAAATATTATTAAGGAAAATATATAATGCGTACGTAATTATTTTACCATAATATGACATATATATACTATTGACAAAAAATGCTATTAACCAAACTCCGCTCAGAATCGCTTTTCGTTAACAATGGGTAATTGTTATGTACAGATAAAAATTGAATTTCCCCTCTACCTTCCCAATTTCTCACCAACAACAATGGCCCACTAAAGTGCGAATTATGTCAATCTTTTTATTTCTAAAATCACAATCGGAAACGAAACATTTGTTGTTTCTACTAATTTTAAATATCAAGAAGCTAGGTAAAATATAAACAATTTTGGTTGAATAAATAATATAATTTATAATATTCGTCGACAATAGTTAATAATTATAAATGTTTATTATTTTCAGTACCTATTATAATACTCAGCTAATAAAAACAGTACACTTATTGTAAACAACGCACTCTATTGGGATTATGATCTGTAGTAAATACGAAGTTTCCCTCTAAACAGATTGGAGAGCGATAGCTGGTTATAGGCACTTTATAAATTAACCATGATCTTACTTACAACAGTGGCAAGTACCCACTATAATTATCAGCCTTTTTTGCATACATAATACGTAATTCTAAATATTTAAAAAAATGGAATATCACGTAAACGGATTGACGGAAATCGAAAATTTCAACACCAAAATTTATTTAACTAATACTCTACCTATTTATGGAATTTTTAATATAAGTTGCTATTTGAAAATCAAAAGTAGGTAGTTTTAACCCCAAACCCCCAAAAATAAGAGTGACAAATAATAACATAAATATAAGCTTGTAGAGGTGCTTAGTTTTTAAATGTTCTATAAAAACAGTTCTCGAAAAAAAGTTAATATTTTCCAAGATAGTAAATTTCTTACGCTTAATTGATCACCTTGTACATAGATATGTATACAATTACAAGTATTACTCATTTACTCATCAATTAGTACACGGTTCAACTCTAAATAATCGTTTTTTATATTGATGCGTAGGTTATAAATAAATAAATAAGGTACTCAGTAATTTCAAGCGTAAATTTTTAAAGACTGTATCACATCGACAGGAAACTTTCAACATTGATAATTTAATTAAAAAGCTATGTATTCTATTTATTATAATGGTCGATACACCTGTGGTCGCTTTCGTTAATCCAAGTTGATACTTATTTATTTAGCAATGTATTTATTGTAGCGATTAGCTACGTAATAAAATTGCTAAATAAATATCAACTTGGATTAACGAAAGCGACCATAGGTATATCGACCATTATATTTATATTTTAGAGATCTTACTCAAATGTAAAATATTTAGAATATCGAAAACATCAAACTTATCAAAACTTAAAATCCTAAAAAATGTAGAACGTTATAATACTTTGATAACAATAACATTATTACCTAGTTATTAAATGCATTTGATTTTGAACGTTGTTATAAAATAAAATATTTTATGATATATTATTATTAATTTTTTGTACATAATATTTATTATTCATAGTACGTGAGTATAAAAATGTATACATTTTTTTAATAAATATCTACCTACTTACCTATAGAATACCAATACCAATTCTATTTCACTAGAAAAGTTGTTCAATCGTTGTAGGTAATGTTATTTATACATGTTATATTGGAAACAATAAAATTATACCTAGTGTTTATTTATACGCACAAATAACCAGTTAAATAATGACCGTTGCCGTTGCGTCATCGATATTTGATATAGTGAATATTTATTAACGTCGATATGAAAAATAATTTTGTGGAATATTACTGCGCTATCTCACGGGTAATATGATAAATAGATCATGCGTCATCGAGACTCCGGTAAATATTCTGATAAGAGTTTATACCAGGTCAGAGACATTCAGATCCCAAGACCATATGGTCCCGAGTCATTTAGATCCAAGACATTTTTAGATCTCGGCCATATGGAGACATATAAATCCATTTATTATTGATTATAATTGGTAGTAGTATGTTCAAAATCGACATAATGATTAATACTTTACCAGTGGCTCCTTCACCATACAAATTAGGTTATTTTGAATTTACAAAAAAACTTTATGCAATAGATTCAAAATTATAAGTGTAACAAATAGGTACCTAGATTGTACCTAATGCTATTAAATTTAATATCTAATGTTAATTTATTGAAATTGGTATGGTGTTAACATAATAGTGTTTGAGAAAATTTAAAAAACTTATTCATGCAATGGTTTAATTATTATTACCTAGGTACAGGATTTTCGAAAATTCTATTTACCCTTAACCATGTAACCATATTCTTCTAACTTCATGGCAATATAATATATTGTGGCACTTAAATGACACTGAGTTCGGTGTTCTGACAAGTGCGAGGTTCATGTTGTTAAAATTATTGTGAGGGGGTATATTATTATTTGAAATTTCTAAAAATATTTACCTATATTCCTACGACATATCAGCTATTATAATTGTAAATACTGATAACATTCGGATATTTGGACTTTTAAATCAAGAGAAGATAATTTGATCCCGAGACAACTAGATCCACACTGTTACCAAAGGTATGGTTGGAATCTAAATCATCGTATTTCATACATGTATATATATATCATTATATTATCTATTTTCTATGATCTAAATAACCCGGGTACTATTTGTCCACACATCATCTCACGGTAGCCCGCATAACTATAGTTTTAATCGCCAAATATCTCTAAGCCATGGGCTATCTGTCTATTCTTATAACTAAAGGCCTAATGATGCTAATATTCTCTTAAAAGTTTGAAAAATATGCAAAAATAATCAATGAACATCAATATATGCTTTAATATGCAATTTTTTTTTTACAATATTCCATGTATATAATTATTGACACATATTAAAATAGAAAAATAGTGCACTTAAGTAAAAGTAGGAATATAATATTAATATAACAATATGGGTAATTTAATTTAAACATTTAAAAATCACGCTCCACATATGATTGTAAAAGTGTAAAATAAAATATTTGAACATTTGAAAAGTTGATAATGATTAATAATAAACAAATATGTTGATATTATTCTCACTATGAAAACTGCTAGCATTGCAGTTTAGCCACTATGTTTAGTGAATGGTAACTTATATTAGGCAGATACTATAACACTGAAATTATTTATCAAAATAATAAGAAAAAAAAAATTGCTAATGTTCAAAATATATTTTTCCAGGTACCTTGTTATTAAAATTAATATTTTTTTATTACAATTTACGAAATATTCCAAAATGAGCAAAATAAGCTAAATATTCCTTAACCCATGAAATATTCACAAATATTCAAAAAAACATTTTTCCTATTAACTCAGAATTGAATGAATTGTCAACACCTCTCATAATTCTGCATAAACTCAGGAACGTAATGTAAAAGCATATAAATCCGGTCCTTACTCATAATCAATAATAATAATAAACATGGAAAACTAATAATTAAGTTGTGCAAAAGAAGAAGTTATTTTATTTTTGTTGATGTTTCTCTGACTGAAATTTATTTAAAAATAACCCAAGTTTAAAGTCCACACGTAATGTCTCAAAAAAACGTATCAGTTTGATATACATGATTTAATTCTAGTTGAGAAAGTGCTGAAGTTGAAGCAAGAAGTGGTCGACCAATAAGCACGTCCACCGCAGGCATCGCTTATACTATTGAATCAGATTATTAGTAGGTATCCAATGATTTTATAAAATAATTGAACACAAAAATGGTTTTTGTTAATTTTTGTATTCAAAGTAAAACAAACTTAGTATTAAATAAGAACTAAGAAAAAATATTTTTCCCAATAATATACAAATCAATAATATTAACATTGTATAGTACATTAATAATATTTTTCTTTCAAGTAAAAACAATTTTTTTACATATATAAATACATATCATCGCACTACATAAAATTAATTAGTCAACATATGAATCAGTTACAGGTTTAACAGATGTACTTGGTGGTGGTGGAGGAGCATACGATGATTTTTTTTTCATTCTTATTTTCGGTTCTTTAACATTGTTTTCTTCTTCAATAAGACTTTCAAAATTTCGCATTGTACTGGTATCAGTTCTTTTTTTGTAACTTCCAGTACTTGATTGTGATTCAGCAACAGATCGACCATCACCTTCATCCCTCTTATTTAATTCTCCATAAGTCGTTTCTTGTGAGCTATCTCCTCCAAATCGTTTTAACATGGATGGTGATAACCAACTGGTTTTGTTATCTTTGGTTGAATGCTTATCGAGGGATAAAAGTTTTAACAAAGATGGTGCTAATCCTAAACCAATTTTTCGTTCATGATATACTTCAGATATTGTTGGTTTTGGTTCATAATTTAACTTCCGTAGTTGTGAAGTTCTAATATGATCCTCAAGTCCACTGTTAACATCAATATTTGTTTGAGATTTGGTTGGTTCTTTTTCAGATATATCCAACACTTGCGCAAGATATAATGACATTTTGTCAGTATCATCGGTTTGATTTACATCATTTTCAACCACAATTTTATCTAAAATATCATTTGTGTTGTGGAGTTTTTTAATTGGGGGTATAGGAGGTAATGAATGAGTTCCACGGCGCAATATAGTAGAATGCCCATTTCCTATTAAAAAAAAAATATCAAAGTTTTAATTTAATTTTTTTTTTTTTGATAAATTATAGAGAAGTATTTTTTGTACTAAAAAAATATATAATAAATAGGTACTTTAAATTCTAATATATTTTCTTAACAATATTTATATTTTGATAAATATTGCAACCATTAGAATTAAATATATTATGTTTGATCTACACATATTTGATTTACTAAATCAATGATGATATGATTCTACTAAATCATCTACAATAACATTAAATTTCACAATTTTGTCATAGGCCTATAGATATTAAGGAATGTATTTTAAATTTTAATATCAATTGTACTGAGATTATAATTTTATTTAAAATAATTTACATATTATTTAAATCCTATAAGAAATTTTTATATTAGTTCTGGTTTTTTGTTTTAAACTTGTTACATTTATTTACCTTATAGTGCTTTAAATAGTTTAAATAATATAAAAAGGTAATCAATAATAAACTATGAGAAGTTAAATGTTTAAAATCATGAGGTCCTAAATTACTAACCTTCCCAATCTGTAGCAGAACTTGCAGAACTTGATGAATCTGGGCGGACAGGCGTAGAGTACAAATTTCTAATTTTTGTTTGGTGGGCTAGAGTTTTGCTTAATGCATCTCCTAGTCCAGGAACTGGTGGTGATGGTGTAAATGCAGCATCACTTTCTCCACCACCATTTGTTCCACCTGATCTACGGCTCAATATTGTTGGCATAGTCAACACTCCAGTTGAATTCTTATAAAATGAAACCAAACATTATGTATTATAAAAGTTGAATATTTTATTTTTTGAATAGTCATTTAAATTTTAAAAAAATCCAGTCTAAACTTACCTTAATGATTTGGGTAGAAGCATCTGATGCAGTTCTTCCATCTGGTTCTCCTCTTTTCCTGACATAACTAGTAAATGCTCCAGAACCATTATTTCCAGATACTCGTAATGCATTAGTTGAGCTAGGTTTCAATGGCGAATCATTTTGTCTATCATCTTCAACAGTTACCACACTTTCAAGTGAACTTGATGAACACAATGAAAGACTTTTAGGTGCTTCTTGTGTATCTACAAATTTTAAATTGTGAATTGGTAAATCTGATTTACATACAAATAATATAATATATGATGTATTTAGAAATTTAATATGAATATAATCAACAGTTACCAAATAACGCTAACAGAGCTTGTAAAACAAATTGTATACTGCGTTTGTTAGCTTGTTTACCAGTCCGAAGGGTGACTTCATCCATGCCAACTTCAATTAAATCAAAACCTAGATATTGATATCTTATTAAATATTAGTCAAATTAAAAAAAATCATGTCACTAAAATGTATACCAAGAGATGCTAAAAGCTCATGACATCCAGGAGTGTGCCATAATTTTACATTGACTGGCATCTCAACTGATTGTTCATTTTCAGATAAAAGTCTGTTATTTAATTGTTCAACAACATGCCGTATTACAGAAATTACATCATCCGTGACATCAGACGTCAAGACCAATTTTGAAATCGCACTTAATGTTGTACTGTTTAGACCTAATTATATGAACATTTTTAAAATATACTATTAAATATATATATAAAAAAAATAATAAATAAAGTTTGAAGTATTATGAAAGTTGTGTGTAAATATGACTGGTTTTGATTTAAAAAATAAACCGACATACTTCACACGATGGGTGGGCTACTCTTATAGATGATAAGTAGGAAAGGTAGAGGCAAAAAATATCTGTACACAATGAATAACCATTGATAGCGAAAAACTATTTTGAGTGGAGTTTGGATAAACATGTTTTTTTAAAAGGCAATAATATTTCTTAAATTTACCCGTTTTTCTCATTTATTATGAAAACCCCTAAGAAAATAAATAAAAATGTGCACAGTCAAATTTCCTTTCAGTCAGGAGCTACATTTAAAAATTGAATCAAAATTGGTAGAAAAGTTGTTCTCAAAAAAAAAAAAAGAAATAAAAATCATTAAAACTAATAAATTTATTGCTCCGCTCAGAATTTAAAATTATCATTAGACAATAGAACAGCAATGTAATTTTTTAATTGGAGTGAGATTTCTGGTATTAAAGTTAATTTTATATTCAGTTTAGTATTATTTTTTTGACTTTGTTATTTTATAATCCAATGATGATTTTATAGGCTTCATTTTTTTTTTTTTTATAATTGATATTTTATTGAATATTAATTTAAAATAACTTTTTTTCATAAAAAATTTAAAAGTAAATTTATTTGTTATTTGATTTAATGTATATTAGTACTTAGAAATTAATTTGGACATACCAAGTAATGCTTGTAAACTTGCACTACACTGAGTGAGCCTGTCTTCAGGATCACTTTGTGGAAAGAATACTGAAGAAGGTATACCATTAGCAGCAGGTTCAAAACGAAAACCAACTGATTGGAGTAGTTCTTTCCATCCAGTGACATCACCAACCTTTAAGAAATAAAACCAAATTATTTTTATTAATAATTAAGATTGCTTAATACAAAGTATATTTTTAAAATCATAAATTAGGATATTATTTCATGTATTTATAATGGTATATTTATACAAATTTAAGTTAGTAAGTAAAATATTCATTATGTAAAATAATATATTTGTCCAGTTAGTTATAAACAATTAAAACTCCATACTTTATTTTCAATGCTTTTTTGCGTTGTATACATTGCATTTTTCTGTCCTCGATGAATACGTTGCAGAGATTTTTCAACCTTGATGTATAAATAAGTTATATAATATTTTGTATTTATAAAATTATATACTGTTAAAACTATAATAAATACCAAATGAAGAGTAACTCTTAAAGCATCCCTACATCGATCAGGAGTTTTTAATAATTCACAAAGTGCTTGACCCATTAAAGCTACTTTGCTCGATAAACGCACATCTGAACCAATTAGAAAATATCCAGCCCAGTTTGATGGATGAGAAAAATGTTTTGTATGTTGCACAGTTTGCATTGCATCACATAGAGCTCTGCACACTCTTGATCCCTAAATATTGTTTTAAACTCTATTAAATAAATGTTAAAAAATAAGTTTAATTATTAGTTGTTACTTGTAATAAAGCTGAGTAAAATGCCCTCAATAAAATTTTAGCAGCAGTACTCGGTACTGGCCATAATGAAACAAGTATACATTGTGCCCCAGCCATAAGTAAACCATTTGTAAGATCATAAAGTCCTTTTGATGTAGCCCAATCATCTCGTGCATGTGACCAACTTAAAACTACCAGTCTTGCATTTAATTTCAAAGATAATAAATCTTCTGTGGTAAGTAATACTTCGGAAATATTCATATCAGATTGTGATGTGGTTTCCTGAAAAAAATAACAATAATAATACCAATACATAGAAATTTAATTTAATATATTCTTACACTTTCATCTGGAGATAATATAATAGCTGATAATTCCCAACTAACATGAGTAGCCAAATGAATGCATTCTGCTTTAACAAGTTGTTCCAAAATATTGTGTTTATTTGCCTAAAATTAAATTTAGTTTTAATGTATTTTCCATTAACAACAAATTGTAATTTGTTATTGTAATTGGTATACTTGAGCTTTAATCAAAGGTTTTGTCTGTAACATTTCTGCCACCATACTAGCTTCTTGCTCTGTATGTGGTAGTTCATTTAGACTTAATTGTTCATTAAGACAGTTAGGAAGTAACGGGTTTCCAACCACAAGAGTAGTCATATTTGATGATTCATTAACCCCAGCTTTCTTTTGTGCTCTAAACATAAATAAATAATAATTACTATGATTTCAATCCTCATTTCATCCATGTTATTCAATTTTTTTTTTAGGAAAAGTGAAAATTAGATTGAAATTGAAATGTTTAGTATGAAAATATTGAAATTTAATAATATATATATACATTATTGAATTGGAAGGTTTTTACTTTGAATATTATTTATAGAGGAAATTTTTGTAATCAACTTAAAATGTTAATGACGCCTATAATTTTTTCTTATCTTAGATATTTTTGAAATAATATATCAACCTTTGATTTTCTTTAAATTTCATCAATGAAGGTGTAACAAGCAAACTGAATTTTTCACTTAAATATTCTCCTGATAAAAGACTATCATCATCTATTTTTGGATGTAACATTGAAAATGGCACTAATAATAAATCTTGTTCGAGAACTAATAATAATTCTTTTCTGCCCGAACAACCCTTACTATGAGAAGCTGTAAAAATATATTATTAAACATTTGGATTTTTAACAAATATTATTTAGTTTGAAATAATTACCACAGGGTGCAAAAAGAAAATCTTCAAATGGAGCTATTAGTAATTCGTATAATTTGTTTAAACTATCAGGGATAAGCCATGTTTTAGATTTCTTTGCTCTCACACTGCCGGGTCTACTAGCAGATCCAACTGTACTTCCACCCAAGCTTCCAACACTATAATATAAATTATTATTGGATGTCTTCAAAATACCATTTAAACGAAAATAATGAAAACAAATACCTGAACAAACTACTCAAACTGTAGTTACTCGAGTTATATAAATGGTTTCTGTTAACCATTCTTAAATAACTACGTTCATTATCTTGAGTCAATCTATCACCTAATTCATCTAAATGGCAAGCTTCATTTGATTCAAAATCAATTCTATAATATCATAAACACATGACATTCTTTTACTTTATCTTATCATGCTAAATACTTACATTGGTTGCTGAACATTTAATGTACTTTTTACATCTTTAAGATATTGTGTTAATAAATTGTCTGTACCATTTTCTGTCTGAATTAAAGTTTCATGAAATTTAACAACTCCTGGATGGAAAATACGTTTAAGAAAATAATGTCATAATAAAATTTTTAAATAAATCTCACCTTTATTTGGAACAATAAGCCAAGAAAACAAATAACCAGATGCTATACTGAAGTAAAGAACTGACGCTTTTTGTTTATTTACAATATCCAATAAACTTTCAACAGAATTTATTTTATGGTAATCTGGATTAGGTTTTACCCGTGTACTGGGAATACCAGTTTTTGCTCTAATACGATATTTTTCTGTAACTAAAAGAGCTTCCTCACATTTATTCAATTGCACTAGCACAGTCTGAAAAATGAATAAACAAAAGTATGTATGTAGGACATAGGTACTATAATAGTTCTATTTTCTGAAAATCGTGAGTATTTTTTTTTTAAAGGGAGAAGGTTAAGGTAATTTTTGAATGTAATAATTCTTTCCTAATCACTTACATAAAAATGCATGGTTGAATATTAATACTAAGAAAACAACAAGAAAAATATTTATTGACCTTGAAAAACAAAAAATCATTTAATTTTGTTTGTAAAAATGTAGGAACATACTAAAAAGGTATATTAGTATACCATTTTATACTAAAAAAGGAGTTTTATATGATTATTCAAAATTATAGTTCACTGCAGAAAAAATCAAAATGATTAATTTGCTATTCTAACATTAAAAAGTGTGCCATTCTTAGCAGCTTTGCATTATGGGTTGGCCACTATTGCAGGTAAGTAGTTGGGAAGTTATAAAAAGTACATACTGCAAGTTACTGCATGAAAATATCAGAACTGTTGAGCATTTTGGTTTATGTTTTAAATAAGGTACCACTGCCCAGAAATTTTACATCTTTTAAAGTATTGTATGAATCTGAGTATTTTTACCAACCAAAAAAGTATTTCCAAAAAAAAGAAACAAAAATTGCATAGAACTATTCAGTAAAACATTATAAAAAAAATTAAATAAATCCTTCAACACATTTTGTTTTTAATCAAAATACTTGTTCAGTAATGAAAATTAATTATCTTTGTAGTCATATTGAAATATTATGTTATACAGTGTACTCCCGATTATCCGTGGAATAGGATGGCAGGATATCCACAGATAAACAAATTCCGCGGATAATCCGCAAAATTAATATATTATCCCAATTTAACCGATAATGATGTACAATGTACATTCGAGGGTCTAGTATTAAAGGAACATAACATAATATGTATTAATAAAGCGTATTTTACGTCGTTANACAATACGTATATATTTTTTTGTATACATATAGGTATGTAGACGATTCCGTGGAAGACAGCGGATAATCGGGAGTACACTGTATTTTAATAAATATTATCAATTGAAATAAATTATAGTTTTAATACTTACTTGTAATGCTTGGTAACATTCTAATCTCAATTGTGTTATAGATTGAGAGTGTTCTAAGGTAATAGAATTAAGAGCATTATCTAATAATTCAGATGCTTGTTCTAAATGACCTCGCGCTGCATCTGATTGTCCATCAGCTAATAATGCCATTCCAAGTTTAAATCGAATGCGTCCTTCTTCATCTGGTTTCCTTGTCATGTCAATACTCTGTAGGGCTTGGGTAAGATATATTACTGCTTGACTTGTGTGTCCTAATGTATGATGTAATGATCCTAAACTTCCATAGGCAGCAGTTTTAGCTGTTTTATCATCAATTTGACTAGCGATTGATAAATGTTCCTCTTGGTATTTAATAGCTTCGTTTAGGTTCCCTAAAACTTCTTCAACATTTCCAATATTTCCATATGCTCTGCATTGTAATAATGGTTGATTAAGTTCTTTGCCAATCTCCAAGTCTAATTTATGGTAATGTAGAGCAACACTGTTCTGTCCCATTAACTGATGTGCATATCCAAGAGCAGATGCTGCATTTGCTTCAACAGTTCTGTTACATAATTCTCTAGCTATTGATATTTGGTTTTGCAAACATGACACAGCTTGTTGATAATTGCCCATCATAACATGATTGGAGCCCAATTCACCATAAGCAGTTGCTTTCATCTCTGAATTGTTAAGTTCATGGGCAATGACTAGTATTTTTTCAAAACAAACAAGACTTTGATCGAGATGTCCAATACGACGGTATGATTGACCTAGACAACTATAGGCTTTTTCAAGATCTCGAAGATTTTGGAGTTGTACTGCAATAGTTAAAAATTGTTCATGACATTTAACAGCTTCATCATAATCTCCTAATGCGTCATAACAATCACCAAGATTTCCAAATGCACGACCCTGTATAAACAATTACTCATTAATATTAATTGCATATGACAATGTATTGACTACAATTAAAAAACTGAAATTAAAAAATATTATCAATGGATACTGTGGACATATAAACATAATATATAAATATTTCACATGGAAATTAATCAACTAATAGAATATAATGAAAAATAAATAAATAAGATTAGAAAGTGATAACTAAATATAGGTGACTGTCAGGTTTTTTAACCAGAGGTTTGCGTTTACTTCTAGGTTGTGAATTTGTTTGATGTTTCCCTCAAACTTTGTCTTGTAGAAACTGAAAACTACGTGCTGAATAGTTTGCTTTAACCCACACTTACACAATGGCGACTGAGCCATGCCTTATTTGAATAGAGTGCTGCCACATCTGCCTTGATTTTGTTTAGGGTTACCCATTAAGCTCGTGGCAGGTCGAAACTTAGGACCCTTTGTGTTGGGTTTTCTACCAGGAAAGAGTTTTGGACACGCAAGGTCATTCCAACAGATTTTCCATGTAGACGTTGCTGGTTCATTCGTGAGTGTTGTATCCCAAATGGGACGCCTTGATTTTAGCTTCATAGGTGGGTACTTGATTACATCTTTAAACAGAGGTAGGCTTGGGTTGTTTGATTATGTTCAGTATCTATACAGCAGACTCATGCTTCCATATATCGTAGCTATATTGGCCAGTACTGGAACCATTCTACATGAGTGGATCTCAGCGTTCCTATGACGATCCGCATCGTTTTTTTTAGTTGGATATCGACTTTTGTGCAGTGGACACTTCTGGACCAAACATGTGCGCAATATTCTGCTACACTGTAGACTAAGGCAATTGCTGATGTTCGCAGTACATCCATGCTGCAGCCCCAGCTACAGCCAGCTAGCTTTAATAAAATTTTATTTCTAAACTCGAATTTGTTCTCAACCGCTTCTAAGTACTGATTGAAGATCAGAGACCTATCAAATTTAGCTCTTAAGTGTCTAGGATGTTCTTCATTGGCAATGCTGGTGTCTCCTACCTTAATATCTAGCTTCCTTCGGGTTTCCCTGCTACCCAAGTGAAAAACTATGGCTATGGTTTTACTAGGATTCTGAGTGAGATGCCACTTACTAAAACATCTCTTCAAAGCATTAAGGTCTGTATTTAGAACGTGTTTAAGTACGGGAAATGTGTTAGCTCATTCAGAATAAAATACATGTTTATAATCATTTAATTGAATTTACCTTATCTGTTAAAGACGTATGGGAAGACAACTGTTCAAGAGTAGCTAATTGTTGTTCAAAATATCCAATTGCTCCTTCATAAATTCCCATGTTCATCCTTGCTATACCTAAATACAAACATTTAGATTATAGATTTAAAAAAAATATTAATAAAGTTTCAAAAAATACCTAAATTTCCAAAAGCCTCTGCTTCAATTGCATTATCTCTTAGTTCTTTTGCTCTTTCAAGCTGTAATTGGTAACATTTTATTGCATTTGTATAATTCCTAAGAGACATATAAACTGCTCCAATATGTCCATGAGCACAACATTCACCTTTTAAATCATTTACTTCTTGTCTTAGAGATAACTCCTGAAAAAAAAAAATTTTAACAACATATTCTATAAATTAAATACAATTATTTGTCTATTCCATACTTGACAATGATAAGATAAAGCTTTATCAAAACATTTGATATATCTGTTAGCTAAACCTAGAGAACTACATGCTGCTGCCTCCATATTTGTATCTCTAATTTGTCTGGCAAGTGTGAACTGTCGGTGATACATTTTAAGGGCTTCTTCTGTGTCATTCATTTTTATTAGTATATCTCCAATATTGCCTAAGGCTCGAAGTTTTGCTAGCAAACCTTTTGTCATATGTGATATAGCTAAACATATATATATATATAACATAAGTAAAAATAAATTTAAAAAATTATTTAAAAAATGTACCTAAAAAGTATTTTTGACATTCTAGTGAAGTTTCTAGATTTCCTAATGCTAAATGAGCAAGGCCTAAATTACAATAAGCTCGGCCCATATTCATCTTATCTTGTAGATCTTTAGCCAGAGATAAATCTTGGTCGTAATATCTTACAGCCTCTCGATAGTTACCCAAACAATAATGAGCATAACCTAGGAAATGACATGCTTTTGCTTCTCCTTCAATGTCATGTAATTCCTTGAATAAAAAAAATTGGAAAATATTTTTAAGTTCATCATTATAAATTAATAAAAATAATTTACTTGAGATAACATTAAATAATTTTCATAGTAAGGAATGGCCTGTAAGAAGTCACTTCTGGTACTTAAACAATTGGCTAAGTTTAATAAAGCACAAGCCTCTCCAGCTGTATCTTTCAATTCTCTAGCAATATTTAAATGAGCTCTATAATGCAATAGAGCCATTTCAAATGCTCCTAATGACTGATAAGCTACTGCTAGATTTCCATGGGTAGATGCTTCAGAATTTCTGTCCTTAACTTCCTTTGATATAGTTAATTCTTGTTTATGATATTTTATTGCCTGAATATTCAATATTTGTATGTATTATTTAGGAAAATATTAGTCAGAATATGATAAAGTAACCTCATTTGTTTTTACCTGTTCATAGAAACCCATAGCACTATAAGCATTTCCAATGTTTCCAAACGCTCTTCCCATAGCAGCTCTATCATGCAAAGACTTAGCAATATTTAAATGAGCATGATGTAGTTTTAATGCAGACTCATGAGCTCCAAGTAACTGATAAACAATACCCAAATTTGAACAGGCTCTTCCTTCTCCTACTTTGTCGTGTGTATTTAATGCCATGTCTAATTGTTTTTCATGCCAATGTTTTGCCTAGAAAAAATATGAGTTAATAATATTGTAAATATTTTGTCATATTATATAAACATACTTGAGAATAGTTTCCAGCACATCTTGCTGCATGGCCAAGTCCAGCATAGGCTCTAGCTTCAATTATTTTGTCTCCAAGTTCTTGAGCAAGTCTTAAAACATTTTCATGGTAAGTAATAGCTTGAGCAAAATTTCGTCTATAATGATATGACGAACCTAAATTGCTATAAGCACGTGCTTCTTCAACCTTAACAAAATAAATAAATAGTATTGAAAATATAAATTATTAACAATTTGTTTACCTTATTTCCTAATTTTTTTGATAATTTTAAATGTTGCATATGACAGTCTAATGCACTTTCAAATTCACCCATGGCTAAATAAACAGCACCAACATTTCCAATTTCTCTTGCTTCCTGAAGAACTTCTCCAATTTGTTTTACTAACTGTACACATTGTTTGTGTGACGCTAACGCATTAGGATAATCACCAATTGCTGTATATACATGCCCTGATTAAAAAATACAAAGTTAGAAAGTAACTATTTTAGATTAAACACCCATTGTATCATAGTATGTTATTCATTAATTAGTTTAAACTAAAATTTGTACTTATTAAAACAATATGTAGCCTAAAATATAAAATGTAAATACTGTAAGTAACCTAAACACAATCCATTACAAAATGTAAACAAATAATAGCATACAAATTAAAATTAGTAACTTACCAAGACTAGTAAGAGCAGAAGCAGCAGCTTTCATTTCTCTGGCTTTCATTGCAAAAACTAATTGGTATCGATGTGCAGTTAATGCTTCTTTATAGCTTCCTTTACTAAAATAAGCCGATCCTAAATTGCCATGAGCTCGACTTTCTCCAGCTACATCTTTTAAAGACTTAGCTACTAATAAATCTTGTTGCATGTAACCTATTGCCTAAGTTAAATTTAATTTAATCATTTAACACGGATATTATGATTTTTATAAATTTAAAAATATTATACATACTTTGTCTAAAGAATTTAGTGCCCAATAAGCTGAAGATAACGCAGAAAATACAGAGCCTCTTAACTTAGCACTACAAGTACCTATCCTAAGAGCTGATTCTAAAACAACAACAGCTACAGAGTACTGTCCAGCTGCTAATAATTCTTGACCTATCACAGACATGACAAGAAATGGAGATTTGTCTAATGTTACACCATTATGATTTATGCTACGCAATTGTTCAAATGTAGGCTCCAGTACACCTATAAAGCATTTCAAAAATAACATGTAAAAACTAAAATTAAGGAAGAAAAAAGGAATAGTATTTGTATCCATACCCCTAAGAGGTGATTTAATAGAGGCCTCAATTAGACCAGCTAATAGCTGAGTAGATTTAGGTTCAATAGAAAGCCCTGTGCTAAAAACTGCCAAGGCATCACCATGCCTACCCAAACATTGCAAAGCAACACCCTCTCGGTAATGTGCTTTTGGCCAATTTGGATTGACTTGGCGAGCACAAGTAGCATCATGTAGTGCTTCATTAAATCTACCCAACTTAAGCAATGCGGCAGACCGATTGGAATATAGAATATGATTATTGGGATAGTGGCGAAGAGCTTCAGTATACAACTGTATTGCTCGTGTAAAGTCTCCAGATTCACATGCAGCATTTGATTCACGCACCTTTTCCATAAATCCTTCTTCACCACATCCATTTTCCGGCTCCACCTTAACATTAGTACAATTGATTAATGATAACTATATGTTCTACCTATGTAATATAATTCTATAATTGGTAATTCTGCATTTTAAACTACCTCGGATAGGTCTCTTTGTGGCATGATTTTGAAAACATTTCTATCATCACATAACTATAGACATTTTTACTCTGTATATAAAACAAAAATAATGACAATAAAAACATGGGTAGATAATATAATTTTTAAATAAATTATGTTTGCTTGTAAACTTTTTTTGTTTAAAACACATTAAGACAATAAAATTATGATTTCTTAAAATAAAGTTTACAAAGAAGACAAATTCTTAATTAGACGGTTTGCAAATGGTAATTACAGGTAACTGGTAAGTAAAAAATGGTACTTTACTGTTATCTAAACTACCTACTTGTGTAAATCTATTTTTTCCTACCTAATGTGGTTTTACTAACGAATCAGGGTTTATTTTTGATTGAAAGTCCAATATGAGCTCACACTCGAGTTGTATAATTGTTACTTAGAATGCGAACACTTTTATCAGCTAAAAATATTGTTATGTTGAAAACTATCTACATGTAAAAATACAGGTAATCGAGACAAAGTACATAACAACTTCTTACAATGATTTTTTGTTGATTTTTTTAAATACTTATTTTTAATTTATCAATTATACAAATGAGTAACTATAGTTTTTTTGTTTAGTTATTTGTTAAGATATTGCAGGTAGCTAGCTATTATACTAATATAAAACTAGTACAAAATTATTGAATATTAATAAAATTGAATTTACAAATAATAATAATAATACCTTTAATTGCAATATTGTCTAACCATTCTATAACTGTATTTTAATACCAATTTTCACAATAAATTAAATGTTTACTAACTTGATAATCTGATAATATATTGATAACTTGGAACAAATGAAGTTTGATACTTTCACACCTACCTACTCATGTTGATTTTCCAAAATGTTATAAGGCACTGAATCTAAAAGTATTTAAAAATTGTTTGCAATTTCTTATTTTGGAAGTTATACCAAAAAGTAGAGTTGAAAAATATTATCCAATTATCACAATGCCAATGTTAATAAAGATTGTTATTTTCTCATGTACGACAATAATTAGTAATTGTTAGAAGGTACGCCATACATATATATACATTTACAATTTAAAAAAGTTTTAAAAACTTAATTAATTTTAAGGCATACCAAAAAAAAGCCCCTGATGCTAATAACAAAGTTTTCAATTTAAAATTACTTAAAACCTATATAAATAATGATAGGCATAGTCAATAAGAATAGAAGTAGGTAATATCTAGAGAAATTAGAAAAATAATTATCATTTTTCTAGTAGTATCCACCAACTAACCCAACTTCTGAAATACTAGTTAATTTTTTGGGTCTTACAAAAAATTATATAGGTATTCACAAATTTCAATAAATAGGATTTAAAAGTGTTACCAGTTCTTTAACAGATTTATATGTAGGTATCTTAACTAAACCAACCAGTTTACTACCTATCTATAAGTATACAATAGAGATTTATGTTAGCTAATATACACTGTAAAACACTAAACTGAGAACGTAACTCGGAGGTGTGAAAACATTTAAATATAAAAATAATAAGTAATAAAGTATACTAAGTATACTTTATATCAATAAGGAATAGGTACCTACCTCTTATCGTATAGAAAACAATAATGGGGCATGTTTGATTAAATACCATTGTTCAACCGGAGGGTAAAGAAAAAAACCAATTAAATTATAATTTTTCAAGAATACTTTTCAATTTTTACAGCGATGCGATACCGGTGATTGGGAGAGTAATATTCTACACACCGAGAGAACCACCGGTTGCACACAACGGCGATTTGACTCACATTGGCGTTGGCGGGACGTGACAATCTATAGTCGCAATGGTGGTGTGTAACGAGCGCAATATTATTAAGAGTTCGCTGCGGCGGTGGAGACTTTAACGACGCACCGTAATCATAATAATAATCCGTAAAATCCGATCGTTACGCGGGCGCGACGGCTTCGTCGACACAGCGCGCGATCATCGTCATTTCGGCGGCGTCGAAGTACGTGTACGAGGCGTGCTTAAAGCGACGGCGGCGGCGAACCGAGACGATCGTGTTGCGATCAGGCGTCGGAGGTCGCGTCTCGGAGGTTCGACCGCGGGGACTGTGCCAGTTGTTTTTTATTTCACGTTTACGCGTCCTGTTGCGTTTCACCGGCCGTCGTCGACGGTCGCCTCTTCGCCGGACGGAAAGAGTACACATGCGGTTGCCGCCGCTGCGGAGGCAGTCGGATAATAATATCATAGTCGCGACGGCAGTGGGGGGCGGGCGACGGGATTTCTTACGGCTGGAGCGGAGAGAGTGGGGAGACGGCGCGATTGGAAAAAAAAAAAAGTATTATGCACGCGCGTGCGCGTGTGTCCGGCACGAAAACGCGCCGCATTCCGATGTCGGCCATATTGGAATGCGGTCGACTGACCCCGCGCCAACGGATCCTCCCTTTAACCTTGATTTGCCCGGGCGGCGGAACGCGGGCCCGATGAATTTTTTACGTACGCGCGCTCGCACTTGTATTGGGTATAATAATAATATTATTATGATTATTATTATTATACATATGTGTTATTATTATTATTATGGCGAGCGAGCGCGCGGGTCATTAATTTAAATATCTTATTAAGATCGTCGGGACAGATATCACCGAGGGTCGTCGTCGTCGTCGTCGCAGCTAGACACCGTCTTACAGGTGGTGTCTCGCGACCGGCGACGATGCGAACGCCACGCCGCCGCCGCCGCCAGTCGTCAATGCGCGCGCGCGCCCAATTTAAACGAACTTTTTTTTTCGCTTTCTTTTCGTACGCGCGTATTATAATACTATAATACGCAGCTCTTTGTGTATATCTACCGGCACTTTGTATGGTAATAGTAATCGGTCATATTGCGCTCGCGCGCACCGTCGTCGTGTATACGGCGGGTATGTTCCGCGATACATCTTTAACATTATCTGTATACCGGGACGACCTCCTCCCGTCGATAAAATTTAATTAGGTTCCCGCGGTGGAATAGGTGTAACGGGTAATAGGTATATTATAATAATATTATTATTATTATTATTGCGGGTACCTATGTCCTATGCGCTCGCAGTTTAATTTCCCGTAATAGGTACCTATAATATTATTATACTATACCTAGGTATTCATTTGAGACACGCTATTTTCGCGTGCGGAAATGACGGTTACGTATTATTATTATTACACTTAATCGTATTTTTCATTTTATATACATATGTGTGTGTGTGTATATATATATATATATAGGAGGTATACCTAATACTTTTTTAAATTTACGATTAAAAATGTTTAAAAAAAAAACAATCCCGAAAACATAAATGTGATATTAATATTACGTACATTAAATGCGCGATACATATTTAGCGAATAGGTAATAAACAATAATAAAAGACCCGGGTGAAAAATGTACGCATGATTAAAGATGGGGCCTACTGCACTAGCTGCTGTATGCATATCACGATATAGAGAGAAGAGTCATGTAGATAATAATTAGACGATGAGGGGAAAAAAAGGAGGAATGTATCTATTATAAGATGAAGTAGAATTTTACGAATTATTTGTACACCACAGTCAAATGAGTTAGATAGACGATTGGTAATAAAATATTATATACATGCAATGTATATCTACTATTAGCGAGACCGGATAAATTAAAATATTTTCGGATAAGCTCGTAATCATGTGACTAAGGACAAAGCACCTTTAGAAAATACCTAAGCAGCAAACTCTAAGCATTTATGTTGAATTCTTTTAACCGCTGAGAAATCTATAGATGATCGAGGGTCATAAAGGAACAGATCCGTACTATACTTATTCTACATTGTATACTATCGAGTACTACTATCGGTACTATCGATAAAACAAAGTATGCAACTGCTTCCCCAAGCGGCTCATTTTTCCGACTCCGTACAGAGTGAGTTTGAATTTGATTACTAGGTTTTGATTACGAGTGTGGAAATGTAATGGTTTACAATAAACCGCAGGTGGTGAGTGTAAATTCGGGTTTCGTAGTGCATACAAAAATAGCCACTGGCTTCGCCTGCTGGGACAAAAACTCCCTTTACAGCTTTTAATACATTTATACGTTATTATGCCTATACAAGTATGGCCCTTAAATGAAGGGCACAGGGAAAAAACTAGAAGAGTCAATTTTTCCAAAATAACGATATCGGTAATTTATATTAACGTACCGTATCTTTTATATGATCGAAATGGTGGGAAAAACAGATTTATCATTTCAATCAATCAGTTTTACCTTTCAAATATTTAAACATTTTTATTTTTATAAGTTTTTGAAGTTCAGATTTTGACGAAAACCGTTAATACATCCACATCATCTGCCTACTATTTCTTAACTAATGTAAATCTAACTTTTTTAGTTTCTTGAAAATGCTGAATAATTTGATACATCGGTTGAACCAGTGCGTCAATGGACAGGTGCAGTCACTGTTATACGTAATTTAATGTATACCTGTAAGCAACGAGAAAGCATTGCTGACGAAAAACGAATCTGAGCGCAATTCAGTTGATAGTGATGCTTTGTCAACAATATATATGTTATATTATGGTAAAATAATTAAATAAACATAATTAATAAATATATAATAATTAAATTTATAATATTTTTTTAATATTGAATCAATTTTCCAGTTTTTCCTAGGTTTTTCTCGGTTTTCCCATGTATTTCCCGGATTATCATATTTGATAAGAAAACTCTTAGCAAAATTAAAAAATTACCCCTATAAAATATCTTCCCAGTCAGATTTACTTTCAGAATAGTGCTATCATTGTAAATTGGTGCAAGATTTCTAGTAGAAAAGTTTACATAACAAATCGAAGGGTATTTTTCGATTAAAATCATCTGAGCGAGCGATAGCTAGGTCTCTAGGTATACTTAAAATGCATTTGTTTTTTCCCTATTTAAGTAAAAGGTAAAAAAAAGTGAAAAAAATTTCTTTTCGAACCCCGGGTTTGACAATACATATTCATAACCATTTGACTACAATAAAGTGGCAATATAAAGTTATTTAACATAAACATGTAATATCTGTATAATATCTGAACTTCAAAAAGCTATAATTTCGAAACTTAGTCATTCCGCTCAATTCTAACTTTACCATCCTTTTTAAATTAGACACACACATATGTTCGAAAAGAAAAAAAATTGAAAAATTAAATTTGTTCCCATTAATTTTTTCTCAAAAAATTTTCGCGAAAATATGTAGTATCAAAATTCCTTTATAAAAACAAATACTGCATTAAACTTTTTTTTTTTATTACAAAGTAAGATTCAATGAACCTCCTGTTAAATTTTCAAGAATTTCTGTTAAGTCTAGCAATTTTACCACAGAGTACCTATCGAATAAAAATTACGTACAAAACTCGCAAAATTAAAATGTATATAAATAGATCAAAAATAGCCTAATTTTTTTTATTTCACCACGTCTAAAACAGGTAAATATAAGTTTTTTGTCTAAATTTCAAGTCTCTACGAATATTTTCAACTGATAACATCAGTTTTATTTATCAAATAACAAAATTGATAAAATAATAAAAGCATTAATTCCGTACATTTCTCGTTTTTCTTACGTTTTATCCTGGTTTTACCTAGATATTATGAAAACCGCTTGGAAAATCAAAAAATAACCTCCCAAAACTACCATCTGGGTCACATTATTTTTCAGAAATGGTGCCACGCGTATATATCTGAGCAAGATTTATGGTCAAATTTTGTATACAGGATAAAAAAAAATAAACATCTTAGCAAAACCAATATATTCTTTGCTACAATCAGAATTTAAAAGTATTTTTTTTTACCAATATTTTTTACCATTAGATATTTAAAATTTAATGAAAAATCGAGTTCAATACGGTTTGTATAATGTTTATCAATTAGAAAAAATTTTAAGAAAATAAATAATGTATTATGTTAACAATTCCTATTTCCGTAGTCATTTTCGTCCATAATAATGACTTAATGACATAATAATGAAAATGAATATCAATCAATATAGATTAGTAGACATTAAAATGTTAAAAATAATTTTAAAATTTTACAAAATAGAATAAAATTTGAAAACTGGCACCGGATCTCTTAAAATATTATCAATACGCCGTGTGGCATATCAATTGAAAATAGTTGTCGAACATTTTAACTATAATTATTTTCTTTTCTAAACATTTTAAAGCTCCAGTTTGTTAAGATATATTTCTTTTATTTAGTAATTCACCCTTTCAATTGTGTTTTTATAATGTTTGATCTAAAATCTTTGTACGTTTTTACATAAGTACTTGGATTTTTTGAAAATGTTCGATGAAAACCAAAATGTAAAACCACGAAAGACTAAATGTATGACTTTATGTATATACCTATAGTTGGTTATAGTTGATATTTTGTTTCGCAAGTAACTACATAATATTAAATTGAACATTTCGGTTACGTTGGGATAGGTTGTCGGAGAATATCTGCGTTTAGCGGATAGATAGGTACTGCAATGATACATAGGTACCTACATAATATCGTGTATTGGACTTTTAAACGTTCGGCTGCCTGGGAGACTTGTCTTCAGAAACACGTCTGATGATTTATACGATAACACTATATAATATATTTTAATAAACAACAAACTATGTAAGGTATACTATTATTTTCTTTTTGTTAATTCGTTTTATCTATACATAATATACCTATCTATTATATCGATTATATTCGATTTTATTATAGACGGACACAAAAATATAAAATAGTATTGCCGTTGTGGCGTATTAATTAAAAATAGTTGTCGAATATTTTAACTATAATAATTTTCTTATCCGATACATTTTATATAATATTATACATAGGTAATAGCATATTGATTAAGTACATAATTATCAGTAGCAGTATAGGTAAATTAATAATAATTTACATATCTAATACCAGTGTATTTAATCACTATATCTTCCTATGTATTATATTCCTTATAACATTTTAATAAATATTACAAATACTTAATATTAATGAAATATTTAGGTATGTGGATACTTATTCAAATATATTTTGACAAGAGGACAAGAGGAACAAATTGTTGTATTTAAAA